TTTTAAGTTCTGCTGCCCATGAATGGTGTGTGTGTGTGTGTGTGTGTGTATGTGTATGTGTGTGTGTATTCCTCCTACATCAGCTTTTCAGTGGAGTATGACCCAACAGATTCGAAGTGTGTTAGGTGGAGGAGGCAGGCTGGGTAATATCCGTTGACCTGTTAAGTACCCAAACAATGTCTTACACACACACACACACACACACACACACACATACACACACACACACACAAGTCCTAGGATCATATGATCTCCGTTTGCAACCCTGACAAGCCAAGCCAATGAGGAAACCAGATTCACTTAACAATTCATAATTGCAGGGATTCCCTTAACAAACCTGGCACAGAAAGGACATCAAATGGGGCAAAACTCACTTAAGAACCATCTGATAATTTGGGGGCTCGGTTGTGGTTGAAAGTCGAGGACCTCCTGGCCTGCAATTCCCGACCTGGCCTCTTCCAAACTGGGTGAAATCCACGTGCTTCGACCTGCCATCTCCTTGCTTGGACCATCTGGACGATCCCCATAAACGCTATTAACAGGACCGTTCTGCTTAGTCACAGCAATTCTCTTTAAGCCTTTCATGATATTTGCACATTTGCATTAAAAAGAGGGAGGGAGAGGTTATATAAGACACCTGGTTTTCTTTAAAAAGTAAAAAATAAATTGCATAGCGGTATCAAAACCGCTTCCTTGTGGGCCAAAAATAGCGGTTGCTTTTTTCTCTCTCTGCTTTGCAGTAAGGATGGAAGGGTAGATCAAAGGACTTTCTCTCATTCTGCAGCCATGAAAACAAATAGTTTCATTGTCTTGTTGCAAATCCCATGTCCTTCTTTGTGATATCTTATCAGCTCCTAAGAGATGGAGCGAAAGGTTGCGCACATGACAAAAAGGATTCGTTTCCCCAAACCATGTCAGGTTACCAGTTGCAAAGGGCCTGGCGCTGACCCCAGAAGAGCCCTAAGAGCATCTTCAGAGTTGAGGCGAAAAATGAGCCCAGAAACATTTGCAATGGGTCACCCCAAAGGTGCTTTTTCAAAAAGCCACTGGACTTTGTTTTCCCTTGAAGATGTTTTGCTTCTCACCCAAGAAGCTTGTTCAGTTCTTCTTCAGTTCTTCAAAACTGCCCAGTTGCCTTTTGGAGGGAAAAAAACACCTTTGGGACAACCAAGAACCTCCGTAGGCATTACCAATGGACAGTCGCTCCTTTGAATGTCCATCATGGGAAATCCATGAGACGAGAAGAAGCGAAAGTCGACAGGCTTATGAAAGGCTTCCTTCAGGGAGAATAGACCAAGAGAAGAACATTGCTCATAGCTGAATAAACTGCCCAAGAATTTAGACCAGGTGTCAGCAACCTGTGGCTCTGGAGCCGCATGTGGCTCTTTCATCCCTCTGCTGCGGCTCCTTGTCACTCAAAATATGCGTCACAACTGCCGATGTGCTACACCTGCTGGCACACGATTTATTGAACCTTTCAACCCCTGGTAGGTTTTGTAACTCCTGGTGTTTTCTGTGGGAAGGGTATCCAAATGGCTCTTTGAGTGTTTAAGGTTGCTGACCCCTGATTTAGACAGTAAGATAGGAGGAAAAGGCAACTGGTGTCTCCTCGCTGTCCTGACCAGAGCAGGTGGAGTTGCTTAATTGTAGATCTTGGCATCGAGCTGATCAGGTAGGTACAATCCAGCTCCAGAGACCTTAATGCAAAGGTCAGACTTCACCAGCCAGAGCCAGGCGGAGACAAGTACACTCAATATTTTCTGCCTTCAACAGAAGTCCAACTCTCTGGTGAAGGAGGCAAGAAATCCTCTTTGTATCCAGTGTCTTTGGGTGCCCTGGTAAAACCGATGCCACAAAAGAAACCCAGAGAGAGCTGCTGCCTCTCATTTCTGGAGCAAAATGGCTTTTCTGTGGGCCTTTACCAACCTAGGGAAAGTTTTGCAAAACCAGTTGAATGTTCCACACACAGGATGTCGATGCGGCCCCAAACAGTGTGTGTAAAAAAACCTTTTGATGCTGCAACAGAAATGCGCACAAAAAGTACAATTGCAGTAGCACTGCGATCCATTAAAGAAACAATAATAATCTCAAAGCCGCCTATTTTCATGGCGCTTCCGCTGACTCAATGAGAGTTTTTGCAGAAATTAGCCAAACGCTCCTGAAAATGTCCCAAAGCCGGGAGACGGGGACCATAGTGAGGTGCCTGCAGTTCTTTTCATCTGGTAACCTCCGGAGTAAGTTTCGGATAGCTCCTTCTCCCCAAAACCGCCCATCCTGGCCCAAGCAAGAGCGGCATTGTCTTCACTTGCTTGGATTTGGAGAGAGGAGAAATGTCCCAAAGGCAACTGGACTTTCTTGGGTTTTCTTGTTCCCTTTGGGAACATTTTGCTTTTCATCCAAGAAGCTTCTTCAGGGCTTCTTCACTTCTAAAGATGCCTCTTGGATGAGAAGCGAAATGTTTTCAAGGAGAAAAACCGAGAAAGCCCAGTTGCCTTTTGGGAAGCACCTTTGGGACAACCGGGACCTGGAAGGGGGAGAATCTCCGTAGACGAGAAGTGGTGTCCCCGGTGGGCGGAGACTGAACGGACCCACCCCACCCCCATCTCCCCGAGCCCAGCAGAACCTGCCCATGCCTCCTTGCTCATCATGTCTTCTCCACTTCCTTTTGTGGTCCAAAGCCAGCACAACCCCGACGTCGGGACTGGGCACAGCCGCCATCGTGGGCATCCTCATCGTCATCTTCATCCTCCTGATGGTGGCCGTGGACATCACCTGCTACTTCCTGAACAAGTGTGGCCTTTTCATGTGCATTGCCGTCAACCTGTGTGGCAAAGCAGGTCCTGGTGCGAAGGGGAAGGACATGGAAGAGGGCAAAGCTGCCTTCTCGTGAGTAACTGCTCTCCATCTCAGAGGGAGGAAGCCACCTCCTCTTCCCTGCCCTTGAACCATAGCAGAAGGTGGCACTTGCTCGTTTGCTGGGTCCCTGTTTTGTTCTGAGTTCACTGGGGATGTAGGCTCTCACCTGTGTAAATCGGGTGAGAGCTGGTAGCTACCAAGACTGGCCATCACTATCGTATTTGCAGAATTCCTAAGTGGGTCTGAGCCTCATGTGAGCTCCCTGGGAATGTTTTGAACAAGGATCTTCAACCTTGGCCACTTTAAGACCTGGGGACTTCAACCCCCAGAATTCCCCACCCATCCTAGAGTAGCCTAACTGGCTGGCTAAGGAATTCTGGGAGTTGAAGTCCACAAGGCTTAAAGTGGCCAAGTTTGGAGGCCCTGGTTTAGAAGATAAGCAACAAAGGGCTTACATCCTGCAGCTCTGAATAGACCACATTTTCTCCTGCCCAGGTCATGGCTATTTTGCCATTGCCAGTTTAATGCTTCCTCAATTCCAAACACTGAGACATCCTCTCGCTTAACCCTGGAACTGCGGCTTCCAAAGTCCTCTCCGAACCCACTCAGAAAGGGCAAAACGAGATGTTGAGGCTCCCCAAACTGCGACTCTCCAAAACCCTGCACCTCTCAGAGCAGCCTTGAATGTTGAATGATTTCCTCAGTCGCTAGAAATCTCACCCAGACAAGTAAGGAGGGCAGCTTGACGCCCCTTCCAGCCACCCACAAGACTCAGAGATAAAAACACAGGACTGTAGAAACCAAGTGGTCAATTGGCAAAGATAAGGGACACTTTGCATTTCCAGGCCGGTCAGTTTGGGGATCAAATTTTCTCTTGTTGTGCAATGTAGAAAGCAAGAAAATTTCTCTCTCTCTGAGCTGCTGGATTCCAACTGGGCTGCACTGAGTCTAAATAGGGAAGATTTTAGCCTAGGCCTGCCTCTTTCTAGCTTCCCCCATGCTTAACGTTTTGCAAGTTAGAGGCACCAGGAGAGGTGAGCCAGGGTGTTGTCTTCGTAATCCACCAGCAGTGTAATGAGTAGGAAAGGGGCAGCATAACATAATAATAGAGTTGCAAGGGACCTTGGAGATCGTCTAGTCCAGGGATCTCCAACCTTGGCAACTTTAAGCCTGGAGGACTTCAACTCCCAGAATTCCCCAGCCAGCTCTGGGAGTTGAAGTCCTCCAGGCTTAAAGTAGCAAAGGATAGAGACCCCTGTTCCCTTGCTTCCTTGCTCAAGCAGGGGGCCCTGTACCATTTCAGATCTGGAGGTCTTCTGGTCCAGTCTCTTAAAAGCCTCCAGTGATGAAGCACCCACAACATCTGAAGACTAGCTGTTCCACTGATTAATTGTTCTCACTATTAGGAAATTTCTCCTAGGTTGCTTCTCAGAGGTGGGATTCAGCAGGTTCTGACCAGTTCTGAAGAACCGGTAGCAGAAATTTTGAGTAGGTCAGAGAACCAGCCAATCCCACCTCTGACTGGCCCCACCAACCCCATCTCTTCTCTGACTCCCATTGAGTCCCAGCTGAACTGGGTCTCCTTTGGTTGCCCTGCACAGGAGAACAGAGCTGGAAAGCAGCTTAAGTGGGGTGGGGAGGGAATGGGATCTTGCAGTAACCTTCCCTTGCCACGCCCACCAAGCAACGTCTACAGAACCGGTTGTAAAAAAAATTGAATCCCACCACTGTTGCTTCTTCTGTCCAACCGTTGCAAGTTAAGAAATCTTTTCAGGGCGCAAACTGAAAGCCTTCAACTCCGAATCCCTCCCTCTGTTACAGGAAGGACGAATCAAAAGAGCCCATCGTCGAAGTGAGGACGGAAGAAGAACGGACTCCAAATCACGATGGAGGCAAACACACCGAACCCAACGAAACCACCCCGCTCACTGAGCCAGAGTAGGTTGGGAGCGGGGGGGGGACCCTTACTTTCCCTGGAGGAGAACACCAGGATGCTCATTGTCCTCCCGGCTTCCGTGGGCCTCTTGCCAGGCACCCACCTTGGGTGCCCAAAAGTGGGTGAGAAGGGCATTGAGGTCGCTCCAGGAGCAGGTCCAGCACCTGGAAGTCTGGAAATCCCAAGGGAGAAACGGAGGGGGGTGTAGGGGTCTCGAGAGAGTTGTGCATTTCCTTCTCTGTGTGGGTTTTCGTGGCCTGGAGTCCATTTTATCCATTGCCTCAATTGGCCCTTGGAGACCCCGAGCAGGGCAAGAGAGGAGGAATGTCCAACCAAAGATGAGCAACGCCAACAGGGAATATTTGTGCATTCTTTCTACCATTCTGTTTAATTAACAAGCTCAGGATCACCCCCCATTTGTAGAGACCCCTCCTGTGGGTGCCCGTGGGGGTGCCATGGTCATTGTGATGTCATAGTACAAGTGAGATAAATGATTTATATGCAGCAATTGCACCGTTGATGCCATGGCGCCATGACACATGTCAAGGTCGCCGTGTCTTACACCCGACACCGGTGGGCCCGTCCTGGCTGGATGTCTGTCCTTGGGCCTCGATCCTCTTGCCTCTGTTTCTCTCCTTCCTGCCCCTTGTTTGTGCCTAAGTAACCGCATGCGAGTCCGGCTGTTGCATTGACTCCTCCTCCAAAACGCTTGCGACGTTGATGGCTGTCACTGCCTCTCTTTCTCTCTCTCTCTCTCTCTTTCTCTCTCTCTCTCTCCCTTCTCCCCTCTTCCTTCCCACCCTCCTCACAGGCACCCTGCCGACACCGTGGCAGCCACAGAGGACATGATGCCGTCCGTCACCACAGTCACCACAAACTCTGACACCATCACTGAGACCTTTGCCACTGCCCAAAATAGCCCCACCAGTGAGACCACCACACTGACCTCCAGCATCACACTGCCAGACACCCCCATACCCAATGCCACCATGGGGCCCCCCAGCCAGGGCACGCCTTCCAAAGCCGCGGCCCCTTCTCCCCCACCAGCCTCCGCCCCCAAAGTGGCTCCCCTGGTGGACCTCAGCGACACCCCCGCATCCCCTCAAGCCGCTGGCAATTTATCCTCCAACGTCCTCAACCACCAGGGCGCGGTGTTGAGCCCCAGCTCCACCAGCAAGGGGCCCGAGGCTCCCAAGGGCCCTGCCATTGCCTCCCCACCCTCCAATCCAGCCAGCCTTCCAGACTCCTCCGAGGCCAAGCAGGAGGCAGCCTCCAGTGCCAGGAGCCCCGAGAAGGAATCCGCGCGGAAGAGCGCCGCAAAGAGCCCGACGGAGGCACTGAAGACCGCGGGGGGGCAGAAAGGCGAGGCGGCCCCAGGGGGCACCAGAAACCCTCCTCAGAATGAGGACTTTAAAATGGACGAGGGGACCTTCAAGACACCCGACCTTGACCTTGCCAAGGATGTTTTTGCCGCCCTGGGCACAGCGGCCCCCGCTGTCGAAGCCCCAGCCGCAGCCCCTGCATCCGCCCTGGAGACTTCAGCATCGCCAGCGCCTGCCAAGACAGAGTAGGCCTTCCCCTTGTGCCCTGTTGCGATGTGCCCCTTCTCTTTCCCGTGCTGGGGAGGGGGTCGACGGCCCACTGCTTTGCCCCCTTTCTCTGTGTTAACCTGGCTTTTCCTCTAAGCAAGCTAACCTGCACCATGGCTCCTTCACTATCACAAAGGAAGTGTGAGGTTCAGCCTCGTCCTCTAGGTGCTACGGCGAAATTGACTTTCCCCCATCTTGCCTTGAGGCCTTCCACCTGAAAGGGCAGCCAAGATGCCACCTGTCTAGGGAGGGTGGTTGGGTCACCGGAGGCTGCCTTGAGATCAGGTTGGGCTGGTTGGCCAAATCCTTGAATGGTTAAACATTCTGTCCTCAGCACAAAGTCCTACCAGGTGGTGTGTAGACGTCCCCGTACCCGTTTCTGCCTCCTGGTCCAGAGAAGCATTGGGGGTCTGAAAGGGGGAAGGGGAATTTTGGTAGTCTCTTGGCTAGAACAGCATGCAGATAGATAGATTGGGGAAGGGGCAACAGAGTTTCCTGCCCTATGAGGGCTTTGGGATTGCTGAGCTTAAAGATAACAAACAGAGGAGAGGAGAGGAAAGGGGAGGAAAGGAAAGGGGAGGAAAGGAAAGGAAAGGAAAGGAAAGGGGAGGAAAGGAAAGGAAGAAGGAAAGGGAAAAAAGGAGAGGAAAGGAAGAGAGGAGGCATGCTAAGAAGGGCCAAAAAAATGGAAGAGCCTTAAGAATCCTGAAGAAAATCTGGAGTTTGGAAAAACGGGATTCTGAACAGATGCCAAAGGACAAGCTGTCCTCCCCAAATATGGTTCTGGTGGTAGAGCTTTTGTAGAAAAAGATTTCACAGTGATGAGATAATTATGGTAATTATCCCCATCACACGTTTGTGCTGTTGAACAAAAATCCACTTCCTAAACCCCAGGTGGTCCTCCCCACAAATAGGAAACAAAGAGAGAACTTAGGGTTTACAAGGTTCAGGAAGGCCAGGCATCATCCAATGGTTCCAGGTGGCACCTTTTGAGCTTTCTCAAACTTGTCCTCCTCTCACCTGAAACCCAGGGGTGAGATTCAGCCAGTTCGTACCGGTTCACAAGAACCGGTTGTTAACTTTCTGAGCAGTTTGGTGAACTGGTTGTTAGAAGAAATCATTAGGGCAGAGAAGCAGTTGTTAGATTGTTTGAATCCCACCACTGCCTGAGTGCAAGTGAGGAGAAGCAGGAAAGGCATCAGTCCTGGGCTCAGGAGGTCTCCCGAGGAGCAGGTGACCAGGCCTTCTGTTGGCATCATGGCTGGATGGCCAGGGCTCCAGACTTTCTCCCAAACAACTTTGGCCAATGTGGTTTCCCACCAATTTCTTTTCCCTGTTGGGACCCTCCCAAGTCCATTAAGTGCTTGCATTGTGTGATGCACCTAAAACAGCCAAAAAATATATATATATCTTCACCAAACAAAAAGAAAGAAAGAAAGCTTGGGAAATCTCTCGCCAAGCCAATTCTTACACACTTTTTCTGGTGACCTCCAGATCATTCTTCCAAAAAGGTTTTCGGATTCTGATACTTAACCCCATTTAAATCATGAGTCTCTAGCCAAACTCCAAAAGGATTTATTGGGAGTTAACATGTCCGGCACTGCCTGGGTGTAGCCGACTCTGAGACACGTAATTCACCGTCACCCTTGACCCTGGTTTTCCCCCATTGCCTGGGTGTCTCATAATTCATATTCTCCAATGGGATACAGCTATAGCCAAGAATCATGTTCTCCAGTTAGATGTTTGCCCAGCAGAAACCTCAGTCACCTAGAAACTATCTTTAAAAACATTTATGGGATGCAAGCTGCCCGCTGCTTCCTCCTCCCTTTCTGTTGGCAACTCTAAAAGACCACAGAAATATTTTATGAGTTGACAAAAGGGCCACCATTGATGACCGTCATCCAGCACATTGAGTTCCTTCCTTGGCCTCCAAATTGGGGGGGTTCCCTGCCCCTGACCTCCCCCCACCCGGCCTTCTGCTCGAAATGAGCGTCACCAACCTCCCTCTTAACCCGCCGTGTTTCTCTGGTTTTCCACCCAGGAAAAACGCTGTAGAAGAAAAGCCGGCCGTTCCCGCCACAGAAGCCAACAACGCAGCCCCCGCAGAAGTGAAGACGGTCCCCAACGAAGCCACACAAACAAATGAAACTGAGAGCAAAGCATGATGGGCTCCGTGGGTCGAAAGCAGAGCAGGCGGGAAATTTAAACAAAACAAAACACACACAAAAAAATTGACAGAACAGCTTCACCTGAGCATTTAAAACACAAAAAATACACATCTCATTCCTCTAGTGTCTTTGCCTTTTTTAAATGAAAACAGACAAAAAAAAAAAATGCATACAACGGGGAAAATGTGTTTGGTTATTGGGGGGGGGGATTGTTTTAATTAGGGCTTGTTTTTTTGTTTTTGTTTTTCTGTTTGTTTTTCTGTTTGGGTAGGTTTGTAGAAAGAATCTTACTTCATGTGCACTTGCTTTGAAGAGGAAAGGAAATTCCCCCCCTCCTTTTCCCCTCCCACCCCGACCCTTCCACGCTCACTTCTTCGAGGACAGCAGACAGTCCGTGCAAAACATCCCCGTTCAATGTACCCAAACTAACTACTGCAAATTTAGGGAGAATCAGAAACAGAATTAGCAAGGCGTGGCCAAGCGGAACGGTAACGCTGGACCCAAATCTTTTTATTTTTATATATTCCAGCTAAGTTGAGAGAGAGAGAAAAAAAAATACCTGTAAAGTCTGGTCAATAAATCGCCGTTTCCTCCCTCTTTCCCCCCCCCCCACCCTGGTTGGTTTCGGATTCCTTCTGTGTGTTGCTTGTCTCCCCAACCTCCTTAACCGACTCCTGTTCTCGTGTCTTGAAGCCCTTGGGGGGCAACAGCTGCTGTTCACCCCTGGGGAAGAACCCTTGGCAATGAGCCCCCCCCCACCTCCCATCCTCGGGTTCATTTCCACGGGTTTCCTGGAAGACGGTTGACTGCTGGTTGCGCCCTGCAAATCGCTCGTTTTTAATCGCTATCCTTGCGTTGAGGAAGACTGCGTCGGGCAGCTTTGGGAGGATGAGTTTCAAACCACAGTATTCTCCGTTTGTTTGTTCTCTTCTGTTTTTGTGGGTTTGGGGGGGGGGGCGGGGGGAGGGTTTCTTTTCATTCCTTTTGTTTTGCCAACATTTTTTTTCTTCCAGTGTTTACAGTCAACGAAATGTTTTTTTTTTTTAAAAAAAAAACTGTTGTGTTTAAAAGTCTATGTAAAATAGCTGCCTTTTTAGAGAGAGAAAGAGAGCGAGAGAGAGAGAGAGAGAAAGAGAAAGAGAGAGAGATTGACAGAGAAACTAAAATGCAGGCTATATAGATAATAGGTGGGCCAGCATGCTTGCTTTGCAGAGGGAAACATTTTAAAATATGGATGTTTACAGTAGATGTTTTCCCTTTTTACCTTTCTTTTAATTATTATTATTTTTATTATTTTTAATTCTTACTAAAGTAAGAAAATCAAGTAACCCTCCCTTTTCCTTGATCCTTCTTTGGATAGAGATGGGCTAATGAAGGGCCAGCTGGTGTCTTGGTCCAAGCTAGTTCCTTGAGAAACACGCAGGAAACTCTTAAGCACCCCGTTTTAGGAAGTAGAGTTTGGGAAAGCAGGAATGTAGCCCCCCCACCCCCCAAAAGAAGATTTTTACAAAGTGCTTGAGTTGGAGGGAGAATATCCCCAAGTGGTGCTTAACCTGCCCCACCTAGAATCCATGAAGGTCAACTGGGGATGCCCAGGTGGTTCCTTCCTTCTCAATACCTTTTGCTCACCACCATTATTCCTGTAACCGTCAAGAGAGCATCTGGGATGGGTTGCCTCCAGAGGAGCTGTGGGGACGTCCCTGGGACACCCCCCGCCTCCAACCGCTCTCCCTTGAAAAGTAGGGAGATTGGGAACGTTGGTAGGTCATTCCCATCCAGGTTGGGGGCCGCAGGGCGTGGCCCCTCCTGCTGTTGAAAAAAAAACAACAACGGTTCCTTCCTAGCTTAATATATTTGAGTGAATTATATATTGTGTTGAATTTCAGGAGCCAGTTAATCGTGGCCTGGTTTCGGAAGAAGAATAACCGTAATGTAAATGCAAATGTCATGAATGCTGTTGGCCAAGTTGGACCTTGAGGGTACTACTTTTATGGCCCTGGAAAACAGCATCCCCTGGAGGTTTCTTGGAGTGCAGTCCAAATGTATGTATATAAAAATGCCTAAGGCTGGGATGTAAGAACTGTAAATCTGTCTTAAAAGAATGTATAGACCGAGGGCGCAGTCTTGGGCTGGACACAGCCCCCCCGCCCCGCCCCAAGCTCCAGCCCCCAAGGGCACCTGAGCTCTGGTAGCCGATCCGATGGGCGTCCATCCTGTTTCCTGGCCAGGGGTGGGGAGCGAGGAGTGAGAAGCCATTCAGCAAGAGATTCAAAGGCCCGGCTTGGCAGCCCCTCGATTCCCATTCAGTTCAGAAAGACCTTTCCAGAGAGCAAGGGATGACTTCCCCAAATCCACGGAGTTAGAGCTGAGGTCTTCCTTAGGCGGCCATTAGTGCATCAAACTCAGTCTTTGGCACGGCAGGTTTGGCCATTGGAGCCCTTGGGGAAAGAAGCAGCTGGCTTAGGTTGAAGTCTCTGGTCCCTAGTGTGGTGGAGGATGTGGTTCCTTTTGGCTCCCGTGTTTTGGCCTCCCCCTCCAAGACTCTTTCATCAGCTGTAGGTCAGCCAAAAGGGGACTTGCAGCCAGGCCCTGGCGCCATATTTATATATCTGTAAGGAAACGCAATTCCCTTTTCTAATGCAAAAATCTGGCCCAAAAGGGGTTTGCAAAAGGAGTGGGCATTCTAGATTGCATCTACTGATCTAGAACGCCCTTAGGAAATGGCCAGTGGCTCCAAAAACACACTATAATTGGGATTTGAAGGCTGCTTCTTGTCAGAATGTTAAAGTGGTCTGAATAAAGATTTCAGCACTCTGATTGTTACTTGCCAGAGTAGAGCTGTTTGAGCACAAGGACTACTCCTGGGTCATTGTGAGAGACCAATAAATGTAAAACCCAGCATTCACAAATTTCTCCAAGGGCTCTTGTGCCTAAAAACTGTAATTTAGCTTTGAAAGAAATTATTCTTCTGCAAATGAGAATGTGGAAAAAGGGATAGAGAAGTGGAAAAAAGACAGCCCTTTTGTAAAAAAATAATAATAATAAAATATCATTTTCATTTTTTTTTAAAATCATTAGATCTGCAAGCTTGTGCACTGTGGGTGCGTGAATATCTTAATGTGAAATGTGTTCTTTGTCATAGTAACCATTTTTTTTATTGAAAAAAAAAAAGAGGGAAAAAAACCTTCAACCTAGTTCGGATGTGGAAAGGGTAGCAGGGATTAGTTTGGGTGATGGAGGAAAAACAATAATAATAATAATAATAATAATAATTTAAAAAAAAAAGAAATCCCGAAAGAGAAACTCTCGGGTTCAGGAGATGTAAAAAGAAGAGCCGACCGCTGTCCTTTGACCAGAGAGTAGTTCGTCTTTCAATAAATGTACAATCTGTGAAACTGAATGTGATACGTAACATTCCTTGGGCTGCAGATGGGAGGGGGGGCAAGGGGGGTGGGGAGGGGGGCTGGGGGGGGGCTGGAGACACCCCTCCCCTGCCACCGGCATCTCCAGGTGCAACGCTGCGACTCACAGTTAGGAAGAGGCAGTCTTCTCCTTTTGCTCGTTGTAAGGTGGGTGTGTTCGACCGTGGTTGCCTGCAGGAGGTTGAAATGGGGGGAACGGGGGGGCCTTTTTAGTTGGCCCACCCATTTGACACTCCCTGTCCTTTGGAGGAAGTCCTGGATGGCCAAGCAGGGAGATTTGGAGCCCTAGAACGGGGGTCTCCAACCTTGGCCAGGTTAAGCCTGGAGGACTTCAACTCCCAGAATTTCCCAGCCAGCTTGGTCTCCAACCCTCGCTGGGGAATTCTGGGAGTTGAAGTCCTCCAGGCTTAAAGTGGCCAAGGTTGGAGACCAAGCTGGCTGGGGAATTCTGGGAGTTGAGGTCCTCCAGGCTTAAAGTGGCCAAGGTTGGAGACCCCTGCCCTGGAGGTGCTCTCAAGAAGGTTCACGAGGGCAGGAACATACGGGGGGAGCCTTGCCATGGAGGGTCCTGAAAGGTTTCCCAAAAGGCAAGCCCGTGTGGTCAGTCCTTCTCCTGCCCCTCCCCATGTCCTTAAGCCCCCAGTGTCCCCCAAGAAGGCTGAGAGAGTTAGGGGTGGTGGAAACGTGCTCTTTTCCCATCCAAGCCCCTCTTCCCCATCCATTTAAAGAGGGAGCCAGTTGGATTGGGACCTCCTGCTCCCCTCACCTGGATGGGACCCAAAGGTGGCATGGTGGAGAAAAATTGTGGGGCTCCTGAAGGCTCGGAAACCCACGAGCAGGAAGTCTTGTCCCAGGGCTCAAGAACGTTCTGGAGAACATCAGCTGCAGCATCCCTTAAGGCAGAGGTCTCCAAACTTGGCAACTTTTAAGACTTGTGGACTTCCAACTTCCTGAATTCTCCTGGAGTTGGAGTCCACAAGTCTTGAAGTTGCCAAGTTTGGAGACTTCTGCCTTTAGGAGGGGACACCATGTCCTGACCAGCCAATGCCGACCCCTTCCTTTTCTTTCTCTGCAGGGAAAGGGCTGGCGGGGGGGGGGTGTCATTATGGGCTTCATTTAGAAATGGCTTTCTACTTTTATTTTTATTTTATTTTTTAAAAAGAGTTTTTGCACTCATGTTTATGCCGGTGTATTTTATTTTCTAAGGGGATACAAATTTTGAAGAGGGACCAACTTGCCCCACTGTTTACAATGTGTACATCTAGATATGTATGCACCATACATATCTGTCTGTCTGTTTGTCTGTCTATCTATCTATCTATCTATCTATCTATCTATCTATCTATCTATCTATCTATGATCTATCTATCTATCTATCTATCTAT